ATCTTGGCTCACTGCAACCTCCGCCTCCCGGGTTCAAGCAATTCTCCTGCTTCAGCCTCCCAAGTACCTGGGACTGCAAGTGCACACCACCACGCCCAGCTAATTTTTGTATTTTTAGTAGAGACAGTTTTACCATGTTGGCCAGGATGGTCTTGGTCTCTTGACCTCATGATCCGCCCGCCTAGGCATCCCAAAGTGCTGGGATTACAGGCTTGAGCCACCACGCCCAGCCACAAAAGGAGGTTTTTAAAAGCAGTTAGTTTTTTTCTGGGATGCCTTTCCTGCAGATGTCTCAGCCTGCTCACCCTAGTTATGGAAAAAGTCTTACTGCTGACAGAGCCCTGGAAAGCTGGGGACTTACAGGTAAATGCAGTTAAGGTTAAGATGAAAGGGGACTGAGAGGGTCATACTGGTGATGAAGTTATTATTGTTTTGAAGCAGTTTCTGGGCTTTGGAATATAAAACAAAGTTAGATTTATCTTTAAAAAAATTAAATTCACAAGGAATATTGCAACAGGAAAAAGTACCAATTATGAAAAACGTCAAGGGCCCGGTGCAGTGGCTCACACTTGTAGTTCCAGCACTTTGGGAGGCTGAGGTGGGTGGATCACCTCAGGTTGGGAGTTTGATACTAGCCTGATCAACATGGAGAAACCCCATCTCTACTAAAAATAAAAAATTAGCCAGGCATGGCGGCACATGCCTGTAATTCCAGTTATTAGGGAGGCTGGGGCAGAATTGCTTGAACCTGGAAGGCAGAGGTAGGCAGACAAGGGCTTTTTTTTCTAGGGAGCAGCAAACAAGATTAGAGAGGTGAGAGAATGGCAAATGAAGGGTGAAAAATCAGATTTTAGATCAGAGAATGTTTTATTGTGAAGTCAGCATGCTCTTAGAAGATACATAAAATGAGGTTGTATGTGAACTCAGACTGTGAATAGTTCAAAGTTCTGGAGCCTGTGAAAAATTTTATTCAGACCACTGGTGACAAATTCAGCTGATTCTTTTAATGGGAAAAAGAAGAAAATGTTCAGAGTTCTTATCGAAAAGAGGTCCCAGTTCAAGCCCCATAAGAGGGTTCTTGTGGTTTCTCTCAAGAAAAAATTTAGGGTGAGTCCATACAGTAAAGTAAAAAAAAAATTTATTAAGAAAGTAAAGAAATAAAAGAATGGACCAGCCTGGCCAACATGGTGAAACCTCATCTCAAAAAAAAAAAAAAAAGAAAAAAAAGAAAGAAAAGAATGGCTTACTCCATAGGCAGAGCAGCCCGAGAAATGCTGGTTGCACATTTTTATCTTTATTTCTTGATTATATGTTAAACAAGGGGTGGATTTTTTATGCCTCCCAATTTTAGACCACATAGGGTAACTTCCTGATGTTTCCATTGCATTTGTAAACTGTCATGACACTGGTAGCAGTGTAGCAGTGAGGGTGACCAGAGGCCACTCTCATTACAGCTTGGATTTGGTGGATTTTATTTGACTTCCTTACTGCAAACTGTTTTATCTGCAAGGTCTTTATGACTTGTATCTCGTGCTGACATTTTATCCTATCCTGTTTACCTAGAATGCTGAACCATCCAGGAATGCAGCCCAGTCAATCTCAGCCCTATTTTACCCAGCCCGTATACAAAATAGATTTGCTCTGGTTCTGTCTACCTCTGACATCTCTCCCACATCTTTTTTACAAGGGCAACCTTAGTCCTAAGGATTGTAGAGGGATGAAGATCCATTTTCTGTAACTACTTCATGCCGAATAGGGGTGATGATATTGTTGCCTAACTATTCAGAGTTTTCTTTTTTTTTTTGGAGATGGAGTTTCGCTCTTGTTGCCCAGGCTGGAGCGCAATGACGCAATCTTGCTTCACCGCAACCTTTGCCTCCTGGGTTCAAGCAATTCTTTTGCCTCAGCCTCCCCAGTAGCTGAGATTACAGGCATGTGCCACCACACCTGGCTAATTTTGTACTTTTATTAGAGGCAGGGTTTCTCCATGTTGGTCAGGCTGGTTTCAAACTCTTGACCTCAGGTGATCCATCTGCCTCAGCCTCCCAAAGTGCTGGAATTACAGGCGTGAGCCACCGTGCCTGGTCCAGAGTTTTCTTGACTGTGAAAAACAAACCAAAGGATCAGTGACATTTTATGCAAAGTCAAAAATATTACTTCACTCTTCTATTAGTTCAGTCCATTCAGTTAATTCCTACTCTGTTTGATAGTCATGAACATTTCAGTTCTCCATAAATAGTGAAAGTTTTTTCTCTATTCTAATGTCACAATTTCTAAAGTCATCACAAACTTTCATTTAAGAATGTGTGTTGGATGGATGTAGTGGCTCATGCCTCTAATCCTAGCATGTTGGGAGGCTGAGCCAGGTGGATTACTTGAGGTCAAGAGTTTGAGACCAGCCTGGCCAAAATGGCAAAATTCTGCCTCTAGTAAAAATACAAAAATTAGCTGGGCGTAGCAGCGTGTGCCTGTAATCCCAGCTGTTTTTGAGTGGCTCAGGCCGGAGAATCGCTTGAACCTGGGGACAGAGGTTGTAGTGAGTCGAGATCATGCCACTTCACTCCAGCCTGGCTAAGAGTGAGACTCTGTCGTAAAAAATAAATAAATAAATAAATCTGTCAAAGTCTTAACTATAAATCATCTTTTGAAGAGGATCAACAGAAGATGATTGTCTGGATGTCAAAGTCTTAGTGCAGTCACAGTAAAAAAAGAAAAAAACTGATTGAGAAGGAAATTTGGTTAGATCTGTGGCATACAATAATTTGATGTAACAATTGTGATTATTAATGATGTACACTTAGTCATATTAGAATTACAGGAGTTTCTCATAGTTTTGGTATACATACCAATAACATATTTACACAACATAGTCCAATAATAGTGAAATATTATTTCACATTTGACAATGTTTTCTGTGTGATTTTTCATACTAAAGGAGCCAAAATTTACTGTCGTATTTGTGTATTATTGATGTCAAACCCAATTTTTTTTTTTTTTACGGACAGGGTTTTATGTTGACCAGGATGGTCTTGAACTCCTGACCTCAGGTGATCGACCCACCTCAGCCTCTCAAATTGCTGGGATTACAGGCATGAGCCACCATGCCTGGCCCAAACCTAATTCTTAATGAATCTTTCTAGACAAATCTATCCAATTTTAATGTTTGATCCTAAGGTAATATTCTCATAGACCTTTTATAACTCTTCACAAAGTCCTTGTTGTTAAAGAGTAAATCAGTGCTGGCCGGGCGCGGTGGCTCAAGCCTGTAATCCCAGCACTTTGGGAGGCCGAGGCGGGTGGATCACGAGGTCAAGAGATCGAGACCATCCTGGTCAACATGGTGAAACCCCGTCT